TGGCTGCGGGTTGGCAGAAAGCTTCCCGTCCCGTGGTCTGCTCGGAAAAGGTGGAAGGAAAAAAAGCTAAAAGCAAGAGTTGCCATAAAAATGCTGCCTGGGGAATGAGCTGCAGGCGGCCTGTCCTCAGTGGGTGTCGCCTCTGTGACTCACCCAGCCCTTGAGAAACCCCCGGGTGAGAATTCGGGCCCAACGTTCAGGTCTTTAGCTAAATTTCCCCCCAATTTAAACATCCAAATTCCTTGGAAGAACAACGACCACCACCACCTCCCTCCCACTCCCCACTTCCCAGCACCTCTCCAATGAGGACAGGCTGAGAGAGTTGGGGTTGTTCAGCCTGGAGAAGAGAAGGCTCTGGGGAGACTTTACAGTGGTCTTCCAGTATCTGAAGGGCACTACAGGAGAGCCAGGGAGGGACTTTTTACAAGGGCATGTAGTGATAGGATGAGGGGTAAGGGCTTCAAACTGGAAGAAGGTAGATTTAGATTAGATACCTGGGAGAAATTTTTCACTCTGAGGGTGGTGAGGCAGTGGCACAGGTTGCCCAGGGAAGCTGTGGATGCCCCATCCCTGGAGGTGTTCAAGGCCAGGTTGGATGGAGCTTTGAGCAACCTGGTCTAGTGGGAGGTGTCCCTGCCCATGGCAGGGGGGTTTGAAACTAGATGATCTTCAAGGTGTCTTCCAACATAAACCACTGTATGATTTAACAGCAGCAGGTATTGCATACTGAATGGACCTCCTGCACTGGTAGGGAGGACATGGTGAGAATAATGAAACAGAATGGGGAAGAAGGATTTCTTTCACCTGGTATCATCTCCTCTGTGGAGAACAAATAAACGCTGCGCTGGGGCTGTGGGCAAGCAGAGCTCTGTGGGGGTTGTGAGCAGAGTGGGGGTGAAGGATCGGGCTCTTCAGCTGGGACGGTTCCCTGCCCGTCAGCCAAGTTTGCAAATGGAAATCCCACCACAAAGCTGACACACTCTTTGCTTCTGTCCCCACTGCTGTTGCTTCTCTACTGGATGGTTCAGCAAACACCACGTTGGCACTTGCTTTCCAGTAGGTTTTTGAGCCGTGGGGGCAAAAGCGTGGGGCAGCCATTCACCTGGTGGGACATGCCAATGGAGGTTCTCCGGCTTGAGCTTTCAACAGGTAGATGTTACCCAGCTTATCTTCATCGGTATCGTCTTATGTGACACACGGGCTTTTGGAAAGGTGTCAGAGCAAACTTCCTCTTCTCTTGGACCTGGCAGGATGAGAACACGAACACAAACCCTCCTCCATGCATCGGAAAAAGGGTTTGGTTGCAAATCACCTTCATGAAGGGAGTCCTTGTTTACTGAACTTCCCTTTCATCTAAGCGTGTGTGTCACTAGAATAGGCTGCAGCGGCGGCTCTCACACAGTGTGTGGAGCTCAAGGCTTAGAGCTCAGGGTACACGTGCAGTGGGGGCCGCTGGGGGTTCCCCAGCAAATTGAGCACCGTTGGTCTGTTGCTATAAAGTTATGGCAGCTGTTGGAGCCTCATCGTGTGCCAGGGTACAAATTCCTTTTAGGTAGATGTAAAGAATGAAAACCACCTAAAGAATGAAAACCACCCAAAGAATGAAAACCACCCAAATGTCAACGTTATCTACCGTGTGCATAGCCAGTGAGTATTGTTCTCCAAACAAGGCAGCCTGTGATGACTGTCTGTTGTGAGACAGAACAGTGAGAACTTGCAGTGTGAGAACACAGTCTTCGGTTTGTATCCTGTGTTGTTTTCAGTTCATTCATTAAGCATTTCACTGTTTTCAACGCTGTTGGCTGTGGCTCAGGGGCTACTGTACTGTTTTTTGCCTGTAGGAATGATTCACTAGGACTAAAACTACTTGGCTACTGAAATTTTCAGAAGTGTGGGCCGTAATCAAAGTACTTTTTTTAGCCCTTTCCGCCACCTAGTGCCCATCTCCGTTCGTGCATTTAGACTCAGGAGACCACGGGTCTCAATTCTGTGCCCTAAATTAAGCCTAGACGTCACAGTCAGCAGCCTGAGGACAGGATGTCACTTTTCAGAAGCAATGAGCAACTCCCACTGGTTCCAGGGGTAGAATGTGGTTTCCAAAAGTGTGGCCACAAGAATTGGTGTTTTCAATTTTTTTTTCTTTTAACCTGCTGTGTCATAGCTTTAATCAAATACTGTGATTTGCAGGCCTTACATTTAAAGTTGGATTGGTTCTCCCATGGTGTAATTAAAATTTGAGCCCACTCTGGGGTGAATGTAACAGATCAACAAAAGTGTTAAAATAACTTGTCTTAATAGCGTGCTTCTTGAGTTTCTGGACTTCCACTGTGCTCTCCTAAGCCAAAACTCCTCTTCCTCATCAGCAACAAGCGGAGGTGGCAAACCCAAGTTTTTTATGCAGTAATGTCACCTGTAAGTTTTATTTGCCTGCTCTGGCAAAAGAACAACCGAGCGAAAACAGTAACAAGAGAATTGTGGTATTTTCCCCAACGCATTCACACAGTCCTTTTGTCTCAGCTCACGCTAACCTGCAGACCCGTCTACCTTTCCACCGTGGTGTGGTCTACCCTCACGTTTGATGAGGGAAGGCACTGACGTCTTCATGTCAGACGCTTGTTCTTGCACACGGGATCTGGGAAGAGGGAAATAAGTTCTGCAACGTAACCCCACCTCTCCTGCCAGGCTGTTGAGGGGTGCTCTTTCTCTCATCGGGCTGCAACAAATAGCTCTTCTAATGACTCTCTTACTTCAAACTTTCCAGCATGGATGGAGAGGAACCAGGTATGCCTTGCAAAACCAGGAGCACTTATGTCTGCTTTTGGGGGAGTGGGACAAGCGTCAAGAGGAATGAAGTTCCGCTATGCTCTCTGC